CTTACACGACGTTTTTTACATAATACGTTTTTTAACGTTTTTAGAACAAAATGTTAAATAGGAAAGTTATTGGTAAGGTTAAGAAGCACATTTTAACATTACTATAGAGTATACAGGGTACTTCAAAAAAGTGTTGCGGATATAACATATTTTCTAATGGGAATACCCTATTTTTTATTTTATTATTGGGTTATACGTATAATTCGGTAACTTTTTTTGCATTTTTTGATATTATATATCTAAAATTAATAGATGTTGTAATAATTCAATTTGTTTAAAGAAATGTTGGATTTCGGTAGGGTAAAAATTATCAGTGACGCAAAATTTGTAAATTCTGTCAGAAAAAATGATAATACATACGGTGTACGATTTAAAAATTTGAGATTAGTTAATTTTAAATAGTCGAAATTTATAAATCAGAGCTAATATCTCGCAGTCAGGCGAGCCTTCCAAAAATACGTCCAGTTAGGTTAGGCCTAGATCTTGCCTTTTTTTCACAGCATTTATGATAGTTTTTAAGTCTCGTATAGTAGGATTTTTAATAAAAAACTTATCATTTTCGTTTATAGTTTTCCGCAAATTAAACAGTCCATAACTAAATACTTTATAACGTACCGAATTTACTAAATTTCAAACTGCAGGTAAAATATACAATGCACATAATCAGAAATAGGCTTATGGAACTTCGCGGCGAGGCCCGAGCGGTCTCGCGCGCGACCTATTCGTAAATTTAATTTAGGGTAACTAGAAAAGTATTAGCAATAGAAGATTGTACCGAGTTTTAAAAACTTTTTCAATATTTTTACTTTATTTCATACGCAGTCACTATGTAAAAATTCCTTCAAATAAAAAAGTTTCTTGTTTATCGAAAATCATAATACAATAAAGTTAATGTTTGAAGTTTAATCCATTTTCCAAAAAAAATACACTCACTATGGAACTTTAACTACTTTAGCTATCACCGCCTATGTGTTCTAAATCGATTAAACAAAAGAGTATGTGAATAAGTTGATTAGTTTAGGAGTTATCGCGTAGGAAAGGTCAAAAAATATGGTTATACATTTTTGACAGATTTTTGACATTTTCCGAGATAAAAAATTTCTGACCCCCCAAAAAGGTCGTAATTAGTCATTTCAGATGCACAAAGCCCTAACTGATGATTCTGTATAGATATCATGTAGTTATACCTCCAAAAAATATTTTTACACATTTTCATATCGTTTTTACTCGACTACAGACTTTCGAGCTTTCCTTGATCGGCCGTTGAAAAACCGACAGGGGACAGATAGCAACGAGGCTCCGTGAGTTGACTCGCGAGGCTCTCGCAAGACTCGTCCACACAGCGAATTTGGAATGTCTCGCGCTCGTCTCCCCAGGTCTGGACGCACCATCGTATCGCTGATCGCCATTCGCAAATATATTCCAGATACGTATAGTGAACAAGTGAACCATTCGCAACGTTAAATAATTTTGATATTTAATTTTTATCGTGATGGCTTTTTATGAAAGTGTATACATAAAATTAATTGCATTAATTTGCAATAGCACCACGAAACCACAGATTCGTTATAGAGCCAGATTAAACCAATCAGAATGAGTATTATGTTACCGTAAAAGCCCGAATATTGGTTAAACTTAGAGTTGTCCACGTAGGAGCCTGAAATATACAAAAAGTGGGTCAGTTTAGGTTAATTTTAGATTAGGTCTATATTTTTATTAACTCAAAACCAACTAAAACCTAATTCTAATCTAACCTAAACTCACCCCTTCTTTTGCATATTTCCGGCTATGGTTATTTGTTGGCTTCTTAAACAAAACAGACCCATAATAATTCAAATCTTCTCACGTCAATTTTTTTTTTAATTATTGCATGCCTTAAGTATTTCCAAAGTTAACAAAAATATTTCTTTGCATACCTTGCAATTAATATATTTGGTCTAATTTATCAGTTCTGCATCATATCCGAAATTCAGATTGTGTGTGACACAACGAAGAGTCAACGTGCAACGTGAAAGACAAGAAAAATGGCAAGTAAAAAAATTGTAGTTTTAATTAATAATTACACAGTCCTTCCCTTGAGTGCTCCTGCCTAAAATCTATATTGCCCTCCCCAAGATTTTAAATATAAATGATTGAAACTCATAACAAGTTACTACAATTTAAACTTAAGATAATTATTTAATTATTAAATCCATAATTATATTAAAATATAACACTTACGAAGTTAATAAATATTAACTATTTCTATTTAATCATTTAATAATTATTCTGATAAAAACACGCTTGATTTTTTATTTTAGAAATCATACAGGCTATAATCATTAATATGACTATATTAACAATACTTAAATTAAAATTTATTTGAAGGAATGCTACTTGAAATATTAACTCGGAATAATTATATTAAAAACTGCTCATCGCGTTATCGATGTCGGCGTCTTGTCACTGTTGTCTAGCTGATTGGCCGTTTAGGTACCTATAGTTTGATTTCAGATAATGCAGATTTTAATGTGCCATTTTTGTTTTTTTATTGGATTTTTTTACCTATTTAGTATACTCTATGAAGTGCTCATGTCCATTTTTCAATTATTAAAGTACCTATTTAGATACATTTAAAATTAATTAATTAGTGTATAGTAATTGAATTATGGGTTTGTTTATTTTTTATGAAATGTATTTTTTTTCTATTAAAATAAACATAGCTTTAAATACTATGATTGATATATTGAGATGATACTATGATACTATATATATTGATGATACTATGATACTATTCATTTTCAAATACTTTGAAATAAAATGTCCATCATCTTGCAAAAAAATATTTACAACAGAGAACTGGAAAAATTCGAAATTGACTACTTAAAAATTGTTGATAATAAAGTACTATTGAAAAGGACAGACAAATATTACACGCAATGTCAAATGCAAATGTATGTTACAGGCGCATAAAGTTGCGATCTGTTTATATGGAACCAAAAATAAAATTATACAGTACCTATTTTAAGGGATGAATGTTTTTTAAAAAATTGTGTAGACAATTTAGAATTATTTTACTTTTACTATTACTTGCCACTTTTGTGCGCGTGAGCCTTTTTAAAAGCCCACAAAGACGCTCAGTTTTATCAATCAGGGGTGGAACTCTGCAACGAAATAGCGATCGGTAGCGATAAAGAATACTGTCGCTTGCCGTTTAGTTTGTACGGCCAAGGTCAGCATTCTTCATCGCTACCGATCTCTATTTCGTTACAGAATTCCAGCCCAAACAGACCCAAACCTGAATTTTGCAGGTATATTGGTATGTAAGACCCTGCTTGAATTTGGCCCGCTGAAACTTCGAAGTCTGAACCTATGTATGCTTATTAATTTTTTTTAGTTCATTTATATTTTCGATCCGTTCAATATATTCAGTCAATTATTATATGGAAACAAAATACCGATTTATAGTAAACTGTTTTTATGCCAATTTATTGAATCATTAAAAACAGGGTATGTTTCCGGAATTTAAAAATTATGGATTATTGTCACAGGATGAAAAAACCCGCAGCTTAGAACACATATACAATCTTGTACCATGATTATGATCTCTATTGCATTCTAAAAATAGATCTTTATTATTACTTATAAATAACACTAATATAATACTGATATGACATAAATACTAATAAGAGTTAGGATATTTTTTGAGATAAATACACCTTTACAGCTACGACAACGCCAACAAAAGAAAAGCCCCATTCGATGAACGTTTATTCAAAAGGACAAAAACTGTACTATATTTTTCCTATGCTAAAACTTAGAAGTAATAGCCTAAACTACTGTCAATCTGTAGTAAATCCCTGCTATGATTTTTAATAAAATTCATATTATTTCAGGTTAAGAAAAGGCTCTACTGCAAAACCAAGCCATCCAAACACAAAGAAAACCATCGAGAAAATCAGCGAGAAGAAAACTAATGTTTAATTAAGTTACCAACACATATGTATCGAAAATGCGTCGAATTCATTTCAAAACTTGTGTACCTTAAGACAAATACCTTCATTGTTTCGCATTGTTTCTCAGCAGAGATTTTGTGTCGATTTTGCTTCTAAAAATTATACATGGGACATTATTACAACTATACGAGTAGTAACGACTTAAAAGCAAACTACCTTGTTTTTTAAATAGAGATATGAGTATATATAATAAAGCATATCGTCTTCAAAGGTTACTGTAACCTTTATAGACGTATTAAACAATATCGGTATGGTTTAGTAAAAGAATCGGCAAAATCGATAGAGGTAACTAAAAAATAACTATTTTAAGAATTTTGGTCGAATTATAATAAATAATCATTAAAAAACTATATGGATAAAATATTTTTTGATATAAAGGCATTCTTCTACAATATAAAACCATTAAAAAAAGTACATTTTTATTTGAAAAATGAAAACCGTTTATTTTTCAAGATATTTACTGAGGAAAGCTTAATAAATCTTATTTCTGACTTGTCATAACTTAGAAGTACAGGATACACCAGCATCTCAATTGCGTAATTTATTATTATTTCTATTAATCGATCGTCGAAGAACAGAAAACGAGGTACTAAATTATTTTCTAAATGCAAGAATTAAAATAAATATTTTATTAATTGATTTTTTAAAATTTTTAATTGAAGTTATTATCTGCTTTCAAATTCTGTTTTCAAATTTAAAATGAATATTTCTTTAAAAATTAACCTAAGACTGTGTCTTGGATAATGGATATTATGAATTTAAGACTATTTGTTTAATTCTTAAGTATTACAATCTGTAATTTTTAAATCTAAAAAACGTAAAATTATATGCGTTGATATGTATATTCAAATAATTTTTGAAATTCAATGCATATCCAAATTAAGCTAGTATTTTAAAAGCTAAATATACACTAAACATTATTAATAAATAATAAGGTAGAACTTAATAAATAATCAACCATGGTCAATACAAACAACTACCAATACAACTATGGTAACTACTTACCAGCAAAATTATCTGCTTTTGGAAATATCAGCCCAAGTATAAGTATCGTCTCTGGAAAACACTGCAACTTTCATAGATATCGAATCATGTCAGTATGATTTAAGTAAAAAGTTTATAAAGACCGAAACCGGGAAAAGTGCGCTTGGCGAGAGTTCTCGCGCTTGCCGGCTCTCCGTTTCGCGGCTTAGGGAACGACTGTCGAGCGACGTTTTGAACGAACCGGCGGTCACCTGGTCAACAGAGACGCCTGCGGACATCGTGGTTTCCGCGCGCATCGCAACTTTCAATTACGAATCAAATACATCAGATCGGCGATTTATAATACATCGGATCTGATTATAGATAGATAAAATAAATACTGAATATAAAATACTGATAGATAGATAGTTTATTCATTCCAATAAAAAAAATATACAAATAATGTTCATACGAACGTGGAACCCGTTTAAACAAAGAAAACAAAATTATAATAATATATGCTATTGAATGGGTAGAAAAAAATAACATAATTTTGTTAAATCTAGATATATCTTAGAAATATACAAATACATTTTTTTAATACTCAAATTAAAATCCACTTCCGACAGCGAGAGCAGCCCTTGAGCTATCTAAGGAAAAATCCTGCACTGAATAAAATGCTCTATTTACTAAATACCCCCTTAAAGCGGATTTTAGTTTGTTTCTTGGCAAGTTTCTAATAGCCATGGGAAAAGAATTGTACATTTTTACAGCATTAAAATTTAGATTTTGTTGAATAAAGGTATATTTACATTTTTCTGATTTTAAATTTTTGTACAATCTTGTACCATGATTATGATCTCTATTGCATTCTAAAAATAGATCTTTATTATTACTTACAAATAACACTGATATAATACTGATATGACATAAATACTAATAAGAGTTAGGATATTTTCTGAGATAAATACACCTTTACAGCTATCTTTCGAATGCATTCCATACATAGTTCGTATCAGTCTTTTTTGTAGTATCAATATCCTACTATCTGAAGAATTTCCCCAAAAGATAATTCCATATTTCAAGCTTCAATGTATATATGCATAATATGCACTCAGTGCTGCTGTCTCATTTGGTCACGTATAACGTTCATTGCATAACAATAACCAGCACAGTATTTTTTGCTAACTAATCTATGTGACATTTCCAGTCTAGTTTTTTGTCGATGCGTAAGCCTAGAAGCACTACATCGTCTTTAGAAGTTAGATTGTACCCTTTATATGGTATAGATATTTTATCGTTCGACCGGTTTGCAAACAAACGAGATTGTGTTTTTTGAATATTTAAAGTTAGATTCACATTGAAATATTCAGTTAGCGTATTAATATTATCGATCACTTTTTTCAATAATATTTCTTTATCAGATTCGCTAAAAATCAGAGCAGTATCATCCGCGTACATGGCCATATACTCAGATGAAATAGTGGGAAGTTCAGGCATATATAGTATATACAATAATGGTCATAAAACCGATCCTTGTGGAACACCCTTTTTTATTGAAATGTCATTTGAGTACAGCACTTTTCCATCCTTATCCACATCAAATACGCATTGTATTCGGTTTTCCAAGTATGATTCTACCAGTTGACGAGCAATCCCTCGTATACCAAAATGTTCTAACATATTACATAGTTTTTTATGATTAACGGAATCAAATGGCTTTAGGTAAGTCTATTAATAAAGCCATGATGACCTTATTGATATTCAATGAGGTTAACACTTTCGAAAGGGATTGATAAATAGCACGAATGATAGTATAGATTTGTTTCTTCTAAAGCCATTTTGCAGATAGGATAACAGACTGATATTTTCAATAAAAGTTATACGATAAGCCAATGAATTTACTTTAATAATGTTATAGTTTTGAAGTTCTCCCCCATAATTGTTCTTAACCTTTAGGCGCTAACGTGCGTAAAAGGAACATAACCGCTAACGTATTGTCTGGCATACCGTTATGCCATTTTTTACGTATAAGATAGTATAAACAAAATAGACTCCTTTTTTCAGGAGCATTTATTCATAAATTATTAAAAGGAAGAATATTGAAATACATAAAAATAAACATTAACATATCATAACAAATACATTTTAGAAATTTAGAAAGTTTAAACCTATTGCTTGTTATTTAAACCTCTGATAAACACTCAATGCAGACTTTTTAGGAATAGATATCATACAGGGCCCAGTCACTCTAATGGAGCGTTAAATTACAAATTAACGATTCGGCCCACTATAGATGGCGCAACTAAAGTCGTGTATATTTGGTTGCCTGATTATTGCATATCAATTTTAAACGTTATGATTGGTTCGATTGACTCCCCACTCCTCATACCATTAGTTGCCCGCGCTCTTACGCGTCGCCAGTCGCCAGCAGTTTTATACGAGCGTTCAGGTGTGTAGTTTGTTGTTTGGCCAGTTCCATTTTTCGTGTCTCGTCTTTACTTGTGTATGTGTCTCGTGTTTTAAGCAAAGTTGTTCAGTTTTTGCATTTATATTCCGACTTCTTTATATAATATAAATATATTATAATTAATTAATGTGTTTTATTTATTTAAAATAAAATTGTTATTACTCCGAATGGGCATCTAATTAAATAAAAAAATTCAATATACGTTCACGAGTAGGCCCGTGAGCCTATATTGACATTTTTTATTTAATAATAAGATTCTGAATTAAATATGAAATTAAAATTTGATTTAGCGGGGCGAGCAGCGAGGGGAGTGTACATAATTTAACCTTGAAGCCCTGAGCCGCACTCGGCCCACTATAGATGGCAGCAAAAATTTTGTTCGTTTTTTTATTAAATTGACTGATCGTTCTGTAGTTATTCTATGATATCATATGATCGGAAAAAACCGGTGTCCAGTTGGCTTATAAATTATGATCGATGACAGTCCCCATATAATTTTATATATAAAATAAAAAAAATCTTCATCTGACGTGTTTTTTTTTCGATCATATTGTACATTCTGACATTTTGTACAGGATGGCCAATTAAGAATTGACGCCGGCTGTATCTCAGAAACTACTTATCGTATAACTTTGAGAAAAATAATTTTGAAATGAATTTTCAAGATCGAGAAATGTCAGCTAGGGGGCGAATCTGTGATGGCCAATCATAACCGCTAACGTGGTGTCTGGCATACCGTTATGCCATTTTTTACGTATAAGATAGTATAAACAAAATCAACTCCTTTTTTCAGGAGCATTTATTCATAAATTATTAAAAGGATAAGAAAAATACTGAAATACATAAAAATAAATATTAACATATCATAACAAATATATTTTAGAAATTTAGAAAGTTTAAACCTATTTTTTTTGTATTTGACTAAGAGTGGGTCCCATAGGGGACCCTCCACTGAGGCCGCGAGGGCCTATTGCTTGTTATTTAAACCTCTGATAAACAGTCAATGCAGACTTTTTAGGAATATATATCATATGATCGAAAAAAATCGGTGTCCAGTTGGCTTAGAAATTAGGATCGATGACAGTCCCCATATAATTTTATATATAAAATAAAAAAAATCTTCATCTGACGTGTTTTTTTTTCGATCATATTGTACATTCTGACCTTTTGTACAGGATGGCCAATTAAGAATGGACGCCGGCTGTATCTCAGAAACTGCTTATCGTATAACATTGGGAAAAATAATTTTGAAATGAATTTTCAAGATCGAGAAATGTCAGCTAGGGGGCGAATCTGTGATGGCCAATCAAAAAACAGTATTTTTCTCAAAAATATGCAGATGACGTATTTGAAATATTGCTATTGTAATCAATGGCAAATTTATATATTTTTTATATTGCGTATTTTGCTCTATGTCGTAAAATAAAATGGGGGGGGGTTAAACTTGCTTTTTTTTAAATAGGGATAACTCTGGTTTAGGTTAGCCGATTTAAACAAACTAGGGCTCGTTTTAAAGAGCTTTTCCTTCTTAATGACCATATATTTAGTAGAGAATATAGTTTCCATATATTTTTACCTGATAACTTGAGGGCGCTGTTTGACATCATAACAGATATTGTGCTTTTGCATTAAAAAATTTAATTAGCAGCTTTTTATACAACTAAATAGAGCAAAAAATTTCCAAAATATCAGCGCAAACCGCAACTTTCTATCTTCTCTCTAACGGGAGACATTAGGAAAAATCATATTAGGCTGCTGCTTACGATAATAAGGTATAAAAATTGTAGTAGTAGGCTGAAAAGTAGGCAGTTAAGAAAAAGAGGTAAATCTGTTGTACATTATTGTTCGTATTTTTAGAGTATTTCGTTTTTAGATTATTAGAAGTCGTTAACGCTTAAATTATACAATACTCTAGTCGATTGACGTTTAGAAATAGATAAAGATTGACAATCAAATTTCGTGTTAATTTTTTGAAAAAAATTAGACTAAATCCGAATCTTCTTTATCCATCTCTTCAACTTCAAGGGTACCTCCTAACCAGTAACATTTTTGCTAAATCTTATACTTCTATAATTTTAATCTAAAATATTTTAGGGCAACTTTTCAAGTCTGAAAACATTATAGAGCATATGATTTGGTAGCTGCTCGTAATAACTACCAACTTCAGAAAAACCACAGACATATGTATACTTCCGGCACGTGAATAAAATACAATAAATAATACCTAAACTCGTATCCATTTTATTACGTGTGTTTTATAGTATTCGGTAGTTTAGTAATATGGCCAGTACAAGTTGTTTTTATAAAGGTAAGATCGTAAATTATAACGCTGTTATCTCTATTTAATTTAAATATTTTACAAGTATTTAGCAATAACCCGTTGCCAAATATTTCGGATTGTGATAATAAAAATCAAATGGATCAGGTATAAAGAGTTTTAAGTGAAGCATCAATCATAAACAAAGTGATGACATTGTAATCAACTTTAGGGTGATGTTTTGTTTATATATATATATATATATATATATATATATATATATATATATATATATATATATATATATATATATATATATATATATATATATATATATATATATATATATATATATATATATATATAAAACAATTTTTTTACTTACCCCCTTTACGACAAGCAAAACAATTTTCTTTTTACTTTTTATTTTTTTTTTTTTTTAAATTTTTTCTCTACTTTCGATTTTTCGAAATTAGAAAAAATACACAGCTAAAGGCAAGAAAATATTATTTATTAATATACACTAAAGCTGTAAGAATTTTGTTCATTTCATATATTTGAGCGGGCCGAAAAACGCTCTTTACCATCT